AAAGGGAGGGAAATAGGTTGAGAAATAGAACAAGAGTTGGGGAAATGGGGGTCAGTCACTCTGCAGAGACGGCGACGTTGAACTCTTCACGCACTGTGATGTTATGCTTTATATTTCGCAAGATCTCACGAAGAAAAGAAAAGAACGAAAAACACACATGCCCTGTAAAAATATGCTAATTTGCTGTGTGAGATCGTTATAATTAATTTTGTTATTGAAGTTTTTACAGAAAAATAAACAACAGCTGATGATGGTTTGCAAGTTTGCAATACTTTTTACACGGCAACATAGATTCATGTTATTTTTTTTTATATATTCTATTATAATTTTCTTTTTTGTGGCAAATAAATCACGAAATTTGCTTTCACGCTTGAAACACTACTGCCAGCGAATTCTTTTTGCTAAATTCTAAGGCTTCTGTTTCATACTCCTTTAAACAAGATTCTTTGAGGTGTAATTTTTCGTCAACAACTGCCAGAACAAATAAATCTTTATTAGGTGCCATTCGTCATCAATTAGCCTGTCATCGCGTTAGTTTTTTTTTTCTTTCCGGGTGCGCTAAGTGAGTGACTTTTGAACAACAGTATCAGTATGGCTTTCATCAGACACGATGGATATCCGATTCGCACTGCACTACAGTAACCCTGACATTAGATTCCGTTTCGGAAAATCGGAGAATTGCCCTTCAATTATAAGTCGGGGGATGAGCAGCCTGGACTTTCATTTATAGATTATTCACCTGCAAGACAGTTTCTAATATCGATTAATTTCCAGCTGGTAATTAACTGGTCTCCTTCACGCCTTGTGGCACCCGAGGCGCATGCGCAGAAGGCGGGGAGTCGATACTTTCACACTTGCCGTCTATATGAGCGCGGGCGGGCGAGCTCAACCTCAAAGTGAGCTTCTCCTCCGGACAGCCATGATCATCCACAGGGTAGGTCCCGTCGGCGCCTTCCCGGGCTCTGTTTACTCTCGGAGGAATTCCCTTCGAGGTGTCTCTGCATGTGATGTCTCGGTTAAGGCATTGGGAGTTCAGTGATTTAGGTCCTGTTGTTTTGATTTGATGGGTTTTGGGGGATTCCTTAGCTTCATAAAGCACTGGAGAAGAGAAGTCGCTGGGATTGTATGTATTTAGCAGAATTTTCCCTCGTCGGAACTGAATGTTTGTAAATACATTCGTTATCGTGCTGCTTAAGTTATCCGAGCTGTCCGTGGCTGAGAGGCTAGTTTGAAATAATGTTGTAGAAAATATATATTCTTAAATTGATAACACTAAATTTTAAATCGTTCCTTTCGCGGAATTATTATTGAAACTTTTCATTTATTATCATTATCATTATTATAATAATTATTAGATATTCACTATTCATGTTCTGTCAGCTAACATGAACACATTATTTTCCCCCTTTCGCATCTTTATGTAAGCTACTTTTGTTAAAAAAACAAACAATGGATAATGATGCAAATTACCCGCCCGTACTTGTGACGCAATGAGTGACAAAAATGAGATTAACGCCTCAAGTATTAAGCTAATAAAGAGCGTCACCGTAAAGCACTGTGCGTAAGAACTGTGATACCCCCCCCCCCCTTCTGCGCGTGAGAGAAAAGTCACGGGTTTACGGCTGAATGACAGTGACTGAGAAAGCGTGAGTGACGGACGAGGGGAAAGGAACGAGATCTGGAGGGAAGTGAAACGGCGGAACGCGAGGAGGATGGAACCACGAACCAGCTCAGGCGTGAAATATGGACCGCGGACGTTTGTGTGCGCCGTCGGGAGGGGCGAAAAGAGTCCTATTTTCTGAACTTGAAGTAGCTTGTTGATAAATCTCTTGGGTGTCTGAACATAAATATTTTATAACTTAAAAGTCATTTTCAAAGCGGATTAAACGGATTGTTATTTTTAATATATATATATGACTCACTCTAGTTAGACAATAACTTTTGTCTAACGTAAAATGAGTCACGAATGTCCTGTATGCTCTCTAATCCTAAAACGAATTTTCATGACTATATTTGAATAAAGCCTGATATCTGTGTCTCCGCCAAGGCGTATATCTCATCGGGGGCGATACGGTAGCTCGGGACTTCGACTCGGTATCCATTACTGCAAAAAGTTACGCGGAATATTGAGTTTGTAATTGCCTGTATTCTATATATTTCCCCTATATTTATCTTGGAAATCAAATACGTACGCCCTAAAATCTAAAGTAAACAAATTAGAAAATCTAGGCTTACGACCCTGTCCCCCTGACCTTACTGGTAAAAACCTCGATCCAGCATGAAGCGACATTGACACCACGCCGCAAAGGCTAATAATAGAGCATGGCGGTCCGATGCTGCGCTGCACATCTGGCTTCGAACCGCACCTGCCGAGGACTTTCACCCGCAGGAATCGCTGCGAGGCAGAGCGGGAAAGTTATTGGTGCAACAACCTCGGGGTTCGGTTGCGAGGCGGACGGGGGTGATGGGCTCGCGTCAGCGAAAGTGACGGGGGATTCGCTAATGGGGCTTGGCTTCTAATCAGTGACGTGAAAGATAGGCGTATGTATGTGCACACACACATACACACACACACACACACGCACACACACACACACACACACGCACACACACACATATGTATATATATACATATATTATATATATATATATATATATATAGATAGATAGATAGATAGATAGATAGATATATAGATATATTTACACACACATACATACACAAACACACACATACACACAAGCACACACACACATTATACACATACATACACACACACACATTATACACATACATACACACACACAAACACACAGCACACACGTGTACTGGGACATACTATATGCATTCTTAGTCTTCTAATCCTATTGTTTTTTTATGTATATATCGTACTGAAATAATTTTAGATCAGTTCATAAATTCGAAATGAAACGGATTCCAGTGCTTTGGAAATATCACACGCATAATCCTAAACCAAATTTTCCTCCAGATCCTCCTCGTAGCCCTGGTGGCCTCCTCGGCAACATGGGCTCACCCGCAGCGCCAGCGTCAGTCCCCGCTCTCGATGGGCATGCGCTTCTTGGGCAACATTCGCGATGGCGTCACCAAGACCTTCCAGGGAATCTTCGGCGGCGGAAATACCCGGCAGACTAAGGAGCAAATCCAGGGCCGTCCCTTCCAGCAGCAGCTCGCACCACGACCCCCCTCCGGCCCCGTGCAGCCCCTCGGCGCCCACGAGGCCGTCCTTCACTCGGGCTCCCACACCACGGCCCCCCCGTCCTCATTCTTCACCGTTTTGCACGAGGCTCCGGAAGCCTCAACCGCGTTCCCAGACATCAGGGGCTTCACGGACGAAAGTTTCAAGCCCAGCACCTTCTTCAATGGCAACACTCCCTTCCAAGGCACGGTCGAGGAAGAGGAACTGCCCCTTGTTGTTAACGAGGTAGTGGTAAGTCGGCCAGAGACCAACGTTTTTGCACGACCCCCGTCTTTCCTGGTCACCCACGACCCACAGGCAGACAAGCATATCCCTCCTTCCCATAACTCTCAGACTTCCAGTTTCTCCTCCTTCGGAAAGTCCCCCCTGGACACCCCGATCCCTTTCGGTAATTCAGCAACTTTTAGCCTAGGGAAGCTCAGGGATAGTTCCTCTGATTCCCCTTTTCCCTTCCGTGATGCTGAGAAGAGCAAGGAGCCTTCCTCCTTTACCTCCGGCCAGGAACCAAGACCCAGTCCTTTCGTCCAGCGTCTGAAACCCAGCGTAGGCTCTCCCGCCCGCATTGAGCCCACCCCACGCCCATTTGTTCACCACCCACACCCAACTACCCGTCAGTTCATCCAGCAAACACAGCCTACATCACGGCCACACTCCTCTCTGAAGCCGAAGCCTTCCAGCACGTTCTTCAAGGCAAGCAGCCCATTCAAGCCTTCGGACGAAATCACGAAGGCTCCCAAGCAGTCCTTCGCCTCTTCGGTCCCCGCCGTGCCCTCCACAGCGCCCATCAGGCCCCAAGCCCCCTCCCCCTCCCCCACGCTCTTCCGCCATACGCCCTCCGATGTGACTCGCCACGCCCCTCTCGCCCCTCCCGTCAGCGAGGTGAGGCCTCAGCGGGAGGCCTTCAAGAAGCCGGTGCGACCCGCCAAGGTCGGCGGCGGCCACATCAACACCGGCACGAAGATGACTGTCGTCAGTACCCTGAACGAAGATGGCACGCAGGTAGATTGGTCGAAACGAATTTAAAATATTTTTGAGCTGAATATAACATACTTGTGATGCAAACTTTAAATATTACAGGACTCATATCTTGTCGACACCTTTTGGGCATGCCTTTAAGCGGTTAAACAATTTCTCAGGCCACACAAGTCAAGGGCTACGAGTTCGGATACGGCGTGCTGGACGGCAGCACCGGGAATCAGTTCTACCACGCGGAGAAGCGCGAGGAAGGACTGACGAAGGGATCCTACAAGATCCAGCTTCCCGACGGTCGTGTCCAGACCGTCACCTACGTGGCGGATGGCAACGGCTTTCACCCCAAGATCACGTACGAGGGCGAGGCGCAGTACCCCAACGCCAAACCCAAAGACGCTGCTTAAAGATTATTTATGAACTGTAGATCGTAACGACCAGACCCATTCTTGTGACCTGCATGATGCGCGGACGAAAATTTCGGCCAAAACGAAAGAGAAAATGAACAGAATAATGACGGCAACCAATAGAAATCATCAGACATAACCTGCTTGGTGCGCTAAACTGTCAGTCAGACCAACTGAATCTGCTGCACTTAGTATTGGCTTGAATCACGCATGAATCACGCCACCGTAGAACTTGTGCATGTCCTGAAACACCGCTAAGGCTGCTGAGACCCCTGCATCCTCGCAGGCATTAAAAGCATGACAGAGCAACATCCTCTGGCATTTGTTGTTTTTCTTTAAATTGTGTACATAATCGTTGTTCCTTTTTATGTCCTCTCGCAGGCGATTGGACTAATTATTGTATGTTTTT